GAGCATCATTTCCATCTTTGTGGGGAGAGGAGGTATTTCTGAAAGGTTGAAATAGCATACTATTGCTGAGTTAGGAAGAGAAATGTAACACGGTCACATATAAATTTAAATTTTGGTTAGGAAAAAGCATTCAAGATGATAATGAAGTCTGTCCTCCACTCTGTAATCTGTGAAGTGATAAAAAAAAAAAAAAAAACTATACTGGCTTTATTTTACTGGAAAGACTAAAGGATGAATGAATGAAAGCAAAAGTGTGCCATCACCACTCCTGATTGCCCAGGTATGGGGTCATCAGTCGTAGATCTCTCTTTCCTTACTCTCAGCCCAGCCCACAAACAAGTTCTACCACTTACTTTGAAAATCTTTCTCTCCATTATCATAAAGCTGTTCAGGTCTTCCCTCTCTCACAGGTAGACTATTGTCCTAACTGTAGCTCCTCCCCATTTTTACCTGCCCTAACAAAAAGCTTCTGGTATAATCTTTATTAACCACTTTGTTTAAAGCTCTTCAGTCTTGTCCTCAGTGGCTAGAGCTTGCGGCTCCCTGCAGCCCATCAATTTCGAATCACACACGCAGCTTCCAAAGCTTTCCCACTGACTAGCACCTGCTTCTCAAGGTTATTTCTCACTTCATCCCTACTTTCATCCAAGAAACAAATGTGCTACTTTCATTGTTGTTTGTATACACACACACACACCTCTGCTTTTCATTATTTTGTCACAATATTTTGAAGATAGCAGCTAACATAGTCTCACCCCTCAAAGTTCGCATGAGCTGGTATATGGCAAACACGATTGTCTCCAGTACTGCGTAGCAAATGCAATAATAGAATAACATGTAAGTTCTAGGGTGGTAAAAAGAGGAATAAATATTGAGACAAATTCAGAGCGTTACTGTGTTCCTATAACAAGGGGCTATCATGATTTGTAATTTCCATGGGAGTAAAGACCTTTCTTTTGATTATGTAGGTTGGATAAATTGACATGAAACATACCGTCTTGTTCTTCTGAAGCAAGGAGTTGTCCCTGAAATCTCATTATACCTACAGTAGATGGTAGAAGTAGATTTGGTTGGTTAAGTCTGTGGTCCCCGACACCCAGGGCTGCAGACTGGGACCAGTCTGTGGCCTCTTAGGAACCAGACCACACAGCAGGAGGTGAGTGGTGGGTGAGCGAGGGAAGCTTCATCTGTATTTACAGCCGCTCCCCATCATTCACGTCACTGCCTGAGCTCCAATTCCCTCCCACCCCCATCCATGGAAAAATTGTCTTCCATGAAACCAGTCCCTGGTGCCAAAAAGGTTGGGGACCACTGGGTTAAGTGCAAAACCACCACCTTGCTGTGGTTGAAGCTACATTGGACTAAGGAGTAAGAAAACCCAGGCATTAGTCCTGACTTGTCTCTAATAAGCCAAGTGACTTAGAACAAGACACTTCACTTCACAAGTGTCATCCATTTCCTCTCTGAAATGAATAGGTTGGGCCAGATGTCCCTAACTTCTTATTCTGCTCTTACAATCTATAATTCTCTGTGTCAGCATTCCTTCATTGCTTCAACAGACACATGATAGAACCTCTAGTGTGTATGCCATTTGTTTATGTCACAGGCATTCAAATCTCATCATTTCTAAACTGGGGCTGGATGCCTTGACAGCTAGAGTCAAAAAAGGTGCCAACCACACTGCGATTCCTTTTCCCACTTCTTTAACCCTGGAGACACCGGCATGGAAAGAGAGAACCTGAAGTCTTTTGAGCATTCTCCTGGTCACATAAGCAAGCAGGAATCCACATCATGCTTGGCATGTTTGTGGATAGTGAGATCTGGAGTGACTGAGTGAAGATTGAGACTGCACTAACCTGACAGTTTGAGAGCTTAAAAGCATCGATTAGTAAATGTGCAAGAATTTGACCTTCCAGCTGCCTCCATGTTGTGTTTTGGGTTCCTATAATGATAGTTAAAAAAGCAAAATAAAGAATCTCTATTATTTCATACTTGGTACTGATTATTTCTACCAAAACAATAAGGGACATGGACTCATATGTGCGTGAGAGTATAATTTTGAGAGGCTTACACACTAGGGACTAAACTAACAAGGATACAGGCTAAAGATCACACATCAAGTATATCCTCAGCACACATTCCCATATTAATCATATTAATCAGCTTTGGAAGAATCAACTTCCAATGAGAGGAGCACAAAGGCATTCAGTGCTGCACTTAATAGGCTACTCATTGGCAGATATTCACATTGCACTTTTTAATTAGGTGACAAAGCAGCTTCACATATATGATAGTTGGTGCTAATGAAAATTTACATGAGGAACCAAAGGAAATCAAATAGATGCTAAGATTATCATTTTACACTTTTTCTTTCTATTTGTGGTAATAAAAAAGTGTGAATTGAAAATCTAAAGAAACATAACAGTTAACTTACTTTTAAATGTGAAATACACTAAGTCATGTTCCTAAATACAAAAAGGTGCCTTAACATTTCATTTGGACAATTTGTAACAATGACAGAGAAACATATTTGTTCACATAAGTCTCTAGGATTGTGAGGAACGGGCTATAATATGTTTAACAATCAATGCTGGCTTTGCTTATTTTTTAATACAACTAAATTCATATGGTATAAAGGAAATGATGACAAGGCTTATAGTTTTTTGTGTGTAGATATGAAAATAAGAGATAACACAAGGAAGAGAACTCAGGAAGTATTATGCACTTTGTCATTACTTCACAACTTGCAGGTTTTTGGACATCATTTATGATTGGCAAAATCACCAGATTTGCTGCAGTAAATGAACTGTTCTCAAAATCTCATGCACCTGAATAATTCCCTCTTGAACTTATTCTTCTGTGTTTCTATTCCTTGTTTTAGATATATCAATATATATCAATATATATTGATATTTAGATATATCAATATAATTCATGTGATAGCAAAGGGAGTCTTTCAGTAAAAAACATTTTCTCTTGAGTGCCATTTAACAATTTTTACAAAAAGCTATATTTGATAATATATGTAAAAGTTCTAAACTTATCATTGTTGTAAACAACAACAATAACAAAAATTTGTGAACTCTGGGAAACTTTTCCTGATTTATTCTCTTTATCAAGAACTTCCTAGGAATTTATGACTATGATACTATTCAAAATTAAAATATGTCAGCAAGTGCAAATTATATGTGTATATTAATATTTCTTATGTCTTCCAAATAGTATATCATTCTCTAAAGAATGTCTCATTTTTTATTTCTAATTTTCACTTGTACCCCTAATTAACTAGACCAGTATTTTATAATTAACAAATAGTCAATCAATATTTAGAATCATCATGCTTACCAAATCATACTAGAGCTGATATATCTTAGATTATATTCACTCTTTAAGAAAATAGCATTACTGATATCCAAATAATACCAATAAACATGATTCTTTATTTTAAAATGTTCAAACAATGTTAAAAAATACAATTCACCAAAGAAAGAGGAGTAGAACTTCGGACCACTGACTGATTATTTCTATGTCAGCTTTCTGAAACCCTTGTTAATTTGGCTATTTTCTACTGCTACTGCACCATAAATTATAGATATATACAAGCACATGTGAGAAAAGAATTGATTTGCCATCAATGATTTGTCCATTTTATAAAAGTGTACGAGCTCTTTTAAGTAACTACCATTATGGGGAAAAATGCTTTGTCTTTATGAAATTCAACGTCTATTTGGTGTGATGCTATACATTCATGATAATGAAGCTCCAATCTATTTATCTGGATAGCTAACTTACATGCCAAATATGTCAATGGTCAAGCAATTTATTGGAAGGGTATATAAGTAGAATGTGTAGTTTGATATAAACACAAATGGGGAAAGGCTGCTGAATACGTTATCAGAGTATGGTATGACTTACTGTGACAGTCAGTTTTAAAACACATTTTGGGACATATGTTAATAAACAAGAATAAGGAAAAAATCCACCACTAGCTTTGAGGGAAAAAATGTATTTTATTCTTCTTTGCATACCCTAGAGCAAGTTGCCTTACTTTACATGTAACAGAAGCTCAATAAACATGCGTTGAATGAATTTATGACTGTATAGACACAGACTGGTATGTGACATTCTTTATGGAATAAAGAGAAATAAATGGTCTTGAGGAGAGAGAGAGAGGATGGTAAAAAGTCTGTTTCATGGTGATTTCTCATTAAGGATGATGCTACTTTCTCTACCGACTGCTTAGCGGGGGGGACCATCAGATCTGCTCTCTGCAGCCAGCTTATTGATTGTGTGGGTCGATGTAATCTGATGCATAAAGAACCAAGAAATGAGAGGCAGCATTCTCCTAGATAACTGCTAAGAAGCAGATAGTTTACATTTGATGCATCCAGGCTAAGTGGCCCCACACGAAGTTGAATTATTAGTAAAAGCAATTCTAAAACTGACAATTCTCTCTTTTATCAGTATGTCTAGGTCTCATCTTTGTGAAAGATTAGTTAGCTTTAAAGAAAAGTGAAGATATAGTAAGAGAAACTAAATCTCTATGAGTAGAAGGTAAAAATTGCTTCTCCTTTTTTATATACAATGTTTTATGCATATGCATATTAGGGTCTAGTTATAGGGTCTTAGATTACAGTGGCTCTTGGTTTTTCTTTCTCTACGTATCCAATGTCTAACTATTTTACTGCTAGTTAGTGCTCACACTACATGCAAGTCAAAATGATGAGCTTGGAGAAGATACCAAGCATAAAACAACATCCTCAGTGCAAAATTTCCAAACCAACCACACAAACAAAAACCCAGAAAAACAAGCAAAAACTGCAAACATTTTATCTATAAAGCAAAGTATTGTTGAGGAAAAGAATGAAACTATTGCAAAAAAGAGTAATTTGTGTTAAATACCAGTTTGAGTATACCCAGCAAAGTGCCTGACACAAATTAGACACTCACAAATTGCTCATTTCTTGCCTTCCATTCCAGGAAAGAATGTTAAATGTTACCTGCCAGAGAGGGTCTTTCTGCTCAGGGAAGAGCTCAAAGTACTTGTGGGCCAGTTGCACGGGAGGCAAAGTTTGCAATTTCAGGTTGGTCCAGCTCTGCACAAAGTTGGCCAAGTTCACAAAGGTATATAACCCTAGCCGGTCATTCCCATAGTTTGATAAATGGGTCATGAAAATGCTGATCTGAAAGATAAATAAAAATAACCACAAAATATCATGTGCTTAAGCTCAAAAGTAGCTGTACCAGCTCCAGATAGCACCTCACCTAGCTTTGGAATTTCATGAGGAGTACAATTATCTTTTTAGGTGGAAAGCCACACATTTAATTTTCACATACAAATAACACTTAAATGAACTGAAAATTGAAATTAAGATTGTCATTCCATCACTGCACATTAAAAGTATAACATTACTTTTCATATTATTCTTTTTTGCCTATTGTGGAACCAATATTATCAAACTCAAAATCTATTAACTTCCAGACTAATGAAGAACCAATGTTTGACCAGTTCTAAAATTGAACAATTTTTCCAGATGTTTTCTGGTTTAAGCATGCGTATAAATTGAAATGGAATCAGACTCGAGAAAACTTGTTTCTTTGTGATATAATGAAGAATTCTTATTGCAATAAGTTGTTAATGTTTGCACAGAAACTGATTGTATTTAGCCAAAAACTCTTTTGTACTAATTAATCCTTTTACATCTTTTCATACCTCAAATACCTAAAAATATCATGGCATTTCAGTCTTGTTCTTTTGTGAATCAGAGATTAAGTAAAAGTGAAATTAGACTGATTACTCTTGAAAGAGAAGCCAAAAATTTAAATACAATTACCGATATAATCTATTGTCCATAAGGTAGTGTAGGAATTTAAAAAATACTGCATAAAAGAGAAACTGCATAAGCTTGATCTAAATTTCAGAGATTATTTATGCAATTCATAAAAAAGAGATCATTTTGTGCCCAAATCAATATTTTGTTCTTGTTCTTCAATCTCACATTATTTTCAAATAAAGAATTATTAAAAATTCTTTTTACTATTAGTATATTGATCTATAAATCTTTCACAACAATTGAAGTACTATAATGAAGTACCTTTTAAACTTTATTAGAAAAGTAATATAATGTTATAAATAATAATATTAGAATAAATATAGCATCTAAAATTAAACAGAAAATAGTATAGAAGAAAAGTCAAGTGTTTCATGGCTAAACTTTTATATGGATGATCACTGACTCATTTTTAAAGATTTATATTTCTTGATATGGCTATTTGGATTATTTGGAAATAAAAATGAGTTTGCAATAGCCATTCCAATATCATTTTCATTGCAACTTGGTTACATATTAGCCATTCAGTAAGGCTCTACTGTAGACCTTATATTCCCAAGAGCTAATATGCCGTTGGACAACTGCAAATACCCCAAAAAGAAGTCTTATATCTTAAAAATAATGGAGCCATTGCCTTGTACAAGAATTAAAAAAATACTCTGACAAGGCATTACAAGTCAAAGACACTAGGCTCATTTCTGGGATCCTCTTTCTACTTTGGAAAAGACATTCTCTATTTTGTGTCATAATAGAACACTGAAAAGGACTCTCTAAGGAAAACCTACTTATTTATGTCTTTATTTTTTTTGATAGGTTCCTAGGAATATTTATTTATTTATTTATTTTATTTCAGCATATTTCAGGGGTACAAATGTTTAGGTTACATATATTGCCTTTGCCCCACCGAGGCAGAGCTTCAAGCATGTCCATCCCCCAGAAGGTGGGCACCACACCCATTTGGTGTAAATATACCCATCCCCTCCTTCCTCCTCCATCCTGCCTAACACCCGATGAATGTTACTATTATATGTACACATAAGTGTTGATCAGTTAATACCAATTTGATGGTGAGTGCACATGGTGCTTGTTTTTCCATTCCTGGGATACTTCACTTAGTAGAATTGGCTCCAACTCTATCCAGGATAATACAGGAGGTGCTAGATCACCACTGTTTTTCATGACTGAGTAGAACTTCATGATTTTATTATATATATATATATATATATATATATATCACATTTTATTAATCCACTCATGTACTAATGGGCACTTGGGTTGTTTCCACATCTTTGCAATTGTGAATTGTGCTGCTATGAACATTGGAGTGCAGACGTCTTTTTTATAGAATGTCTTTTGTTCCTTTGGGTTGCCTTATTGAAATGATCAGAGTTACTCCATGCCATGTTTAAAGGTAGAGAAGAGAATGCGGCCTTAATGTTCTTAAATTACATGAAGTAATATCTAAAATTTACATAGCACTTACTATGCATTAGTCAGGGTTCCAAGCTCTTTACACATATGAAAGAGTTAAACCTTCACAATGCTCTTCCAGGTAAGTACTGTTAGTGTCACCTTTCTTTTTTACAGATGAAAAAGCTGTAGAACAGAGCAGTTAAGTAACTTGTCCAAGTTCCACAGCTAGTCAGTGACCCAGCAGTAATGCAAACCCAGGCAGTCAAAGTCCCATTTCTGACACATGATATACCTGAAACCTTCATCTAAACACTTTTATATATATTGAGTTTGACATCCATCATGTTTTTCCTTTTGTATTAAAATAGAAAAAGACAAAGAACATATTTCTATAGAAGATGGTGGGGAAAAAACTATGTAAGTATTATTTGGCAACTTAAAATTTTCTTTTTTCTTTTTAAATTGGAATGGCAAAAGACAAAATATTTTTGTAATTTTAAATGAAAACTTTTAAGAAAATGAATTACAGTATTTGAAAAGAATATTAATGATGGAATGCAAATTTATCTTGGAAGATTATGTCATTCCTGTTATATTTCTAGTCCTTTATTTTTTCGCCTTGGGGTGTAGTCAAATCTTTTTATTCTAAAGGCCAAAAAAGAGAAAGGCTATTTTAAAAAAATATTCTTTATATAGCTTATTTAGGTAGAAATTTAAATTAAACCCCTAAATGTTAGTTGATATAATGGTCTTACCTGAGATACATATGGAATCATTTGGACAAATTCAGGTGCATATGTCACTGCCAAATATTACAGTGGCCAATCTCTCACTCAAGGTCTTTATTTCAAATAGGAAGTGCCCTCTTGGCAGGACTTAATTACAGAGTTTCTAGAACGTAACATGGTATTAGTAGTCGATGACCATATAATTGCAATTGTTGTCATGAGAATTTCTTTATAATCGCCACAAAATAATATGCCTTTGATCCCAATAAGTACACATTTAGCTCACGTCACTACTGTAATTAAGAAATAAGACAGTGTAAGTACTGTGCTTCAGGATAATTATAGCTTCCCAGGACTGAAATGATGATGAAAAATCAGGCTGTAGGCTGAGTACCTGAAGAATATAACAATATCCTAGAAATCTACCACCTGCCCTCCAGCGCTGTTATTTTAGGGTGGACTTTTAAGGCACCTGAGAGTTTCAAAAGACTGATGAAATTATGAGTAAAAAATATTTCCTTAAGAGTATTGTAAAGATGATTTTTATATCATGGGCAGATGTATATTATCATTTTATTAAGGTAGTAACATATGTTTTTAAAAGATCATTGCAGCAGACTCATTCTAAGATATTTTTCCAGAATTTCCTTAGGAGGATAAGCATTGTTCTGGGAAAAAAGTATGAAGCTGAAAGCAGGACAAATGGAGAATCTGTCTCTGGAAGAAATCGGAGTGTGGAGATGTGCAGTTCTAAGCAGAGGCATGTTGCTGCATTTAAAGTTTCCTGGACAGAGAATAAAAACACACGCCCTGGCCATGCTGGTGGCAGTCACTTCTGTAAGGGGCAGCCTGTGCACGTGCCTTGTGGTTGGAAACAAATTAGCGCTGGTATATGGTCCATTGACTGCACTTTAAGAAAAACAATTCTGCAGGCACAGCTTAACTGCATATCTGGCTTGCTTAATGCACCTATTGTGCAGACAGAGGATTTTATTTTTAGTATTTCTGGACAAATGGCTCATTTAAAAAAGCAAAACCAAACCGATTTCAGAGAGGCAAATTAAGAGTGGACATGGTTGAGGCAGAAATGAGGGGATTCAAAGAATAGGTGGTATGAGAGCGTAGCAAGTCATTTTTCATACTTACGACATATTGCTACTATTTTTTACATGACAGCATATGTTCCTCTGTTTATCCTGTTCTTTTATTTATTTACTTGGATTGTTATTTTCTTAGTGTCTACGAAGAATAGTCTTGCTCAGGACTGTAGTCCCCGAAGTACCATCTGGGGGAAGTATGACTGCTACATGGGTGGAAATTGTTTGTATAGATGATTCTCTGTGCCTTAAAATATGGGAGCTCAGAGATATGCATTGGTTCAGACAAGGAGAACTTCATCTTTCATATGACGAAGACAGGCCAGGAGATCTTGTTCAATAGATGAGTTGAAGAACAAGATATTCAGGAAGTGCTGATATCAGTAGGCCCACTTGCAGCAAGCCTTTCTGCGATGGGTAGGTGCCCTTGTGTCCGTCACTAGCACTGTCTGCTGTCCTTATCTCATCCACACGTGTTCCTCCCTCAACCCTCAAAGCTCTCAATATCATCAAATATAAAGCCAGTCTCAATTCTCTCTTTTATCTGTTGTAAAAATATGCAAGCAAGCTTGTGGGTACTCTCATCGTCTAATTATTCATCAGAAGTCTAATTATTCATTAGAAATATAAAGTTTTACGTTAACCCAATTGCGAAACACAATGTGCATACACAAAATGTGGGAAGGTGTTACATATGGAATAAATCCATTTAGTGATGCATCTATAGTCCAAGGAACAAGGAGGTTTTAAATACAGTGCTATATAAATCTTGATAATAGGTAATTGGGTAAATGCAATTGAACTTCATATAGATAACCCTTAACTGTGTGACAAATCACTGTCACGGTGACAAATGAAATGGTAGTAAATAAATGTAGGCAAGAAGCTGTTCCCCAAATACTTAAGATGACAAGTTATACAATCACTTATGTTTTATAACATTTTATTTTTGCCTTTCTTATGAAGCTACCTATATCCAAAATAGAGGAAGTAGAGAAGAAAAAAGAGAAGAACAAAATTAAAATTAAAGGACTCATTTTATCCATAAAATGAAGCATCAATACTCTCTAGGTTGATTTTCATTGCCAATGCTTTTCCTACTCGTATGACAAAT